CACTCACCACCACCTCCTCCTCCTCCTCAGACTCCTCGGACTCGTCAGACTGCTCCTCCTCCTCCTCTTTCTCTGACGGTTTTTCCTCGGCGTCCGATCCTTCCGCCTCCGCCGAAGCTCCCGCCTTCTCGTCTTCCTCATCGTCGTCTTCGTCGCTGCTCGAGTCCATGACGATGGCTTTGGACTTGCTTCCTGTTTTGGACTTCTTGGGGCTGGACGACGAGCTGGCGGTTTTGGTTTTGTTCTTCTTCTTCGCCATCGAGTCGTCGCCCGACAGCTTCTTCTTCGATTTCCTCTTCTTCTTCACTGGCAGCCGCTGGCGAAGGTCAGAGGACACGTTTAATAAAACCTGAAAAGTTCAGGTGCAGGAGTCTCGGCGCCACAGGTAGCTCAGCTCACCTTGCCACTGTTCTTGGGTGCAGTGAGGAAGGTCAGGATTCGATCCACCAGGTCCGAGTGGGTTCCTTTCTTCTCCAGGTCCAGCACGCCGCAGACCGCCTTCAGCTTGCTGTTGGTGAAGTTGGAGTTCCTGCACGGAGAGAGTCAGCGGTTAGCCAGAGAACGAGCTCCATCGTGGACAGATGAAACGAACACAGCAAAAGGTTTTTATTGATCTCGCTGCCCGCCGCGTTAAAGACGCTCAGAGGTCACCGCTCCATGCGACGGCTCCCCGGCTCTGAGCGCGCTCAGACACGCAGCTGAAGGCGTCTGAGTGGGTGTTTGCTGAGGTGTGACGCAGAGCAGCAGGTCTGCGGACGCCTCTGTAGTCATCAGTACTGCAGTGATACGTCACATATTCATGTTTGATGTGGTAATAAAAACGCTCTGTGAGACTGCCGACCTGTCCAGCTGTACTCTGCCTCTCACCCAATGGTTACTGGGGATAGGCTCCGCCCCCCAGATGGAGCTTTGTGGACACAGGATCAGGTGATAAGTCACAGGTCACGTGTCTGAGACGCCGTGTTTGATTTGGCAGTAACTCGTAAATCACGTCTCCAGCTGGAATCGAACCAGCAACCCTTTGAAGGTCAGCAGGTCGCTGAATGTTTAAACGCCATTACCCGTGGGGCGTCCCGCCCAAGCACACGGATCCCCACCTCCCGTAAACGAGCCGCTGCGTGACCTCTGACCTTCTGTCTGTAGGTTACCGTCTGAGCGCACACTTACTTGAGAAGCTTTTCCCGTTTTTTGGCAAACTGCTCGCTGTCGGCATCAAAGGCGAAGCCGTTGAACAGCCGCAGGTTCTTCTTTAACGTCGCCATCTGAAAAAGAAGCAACAGCGCTCAGAGTCAGCCCGATCACCTGACACGGTCAGCACAGGTCAGAGCGCCGTGGAGCCACGTCCCCTCAGGGCGCGCACGCTGCTCGGCAGCGGACCGTTTCAC